GCGACCCTCAGATTGTGAGTCGAGCGCCTTATCCACCTGGCCATGCCGGGCCAGCTTAAAATTAGGAACGACTCGTGCAAATAACCATTGTGTACTTTTATGCAATTATTTGAAACAAACCTTTCAGTCGGAGAAACTATTAATAGATATACCATCTAAGCGAATTAAATGTTTCTTGTATAAAAATGTGTTTCAATTTCTCTACTCAGGCCGATTTGGTAGAATTTTACTATTTATGGAAAAAAACACCAGGTGCTGCCACCACACGACCCCACAGAAGACGACGTCAGAATGTTCTTCGCCGCATCAAGTCGTGCCCAAAGCCTAACAAGTCGACATCGAACGAGTATAGTAAGTACATTCATTGAAAGATCTTGTTTTTAATAAATTATATATATATATGTATATACGTCACGAGATCCCCTAATTTTTGCTGTAACGTAAAAGTTTTCATATTTCAGGTTGACAATAGTTGTTTGCCTGCCTATTGTTATATTAGCATCATATACTTCCTTACTCAAGACTGTTTGTAATTAAGCACAAAGCTACACGATGGGATATCTGTACACTGTCCACCACGGGTATCGAAACCCGGATTCTAGCGTTGTAAGTCCGCAGACATACCGCTGTGCCACTGGGGGGGGGGGGGCTTACTCAAGTATATGCCCGTTTTTTATTATGACTGTTGTTATTCCAACGATTGGTTGTTGGAATAGTAATTGTTCCATTATTATCATTGTTTTACTAAGTAGGTTTCTCTTAACTATTGTTTCCACCTGACACTTCAGTGGCCCAGCTTGAGAAATAACACTAAATTCGGGGCTTAATCCCAGCGGTAGGCACAGATAAGATAATTCTAGTACAAGAATGTTTACAGACATTATTAGTTTGTGGGGGAAAAAATGCATTATTTTATCCTTAGAAATAGTTTTGTTTTAGGTTGACATCAAACGCATCTGAATGGAACAGACTCGACTCACTCCAGGAACAAGAAGATTAACTCGCCGGTTCGCCAATTCTTTAGAATGATTGAAAAGTTAATTCAAATATATAACTAGATGTACTTCCGGACGGTCCCCGAAACTGTTCAGTTTCAAGACTGCAATTAATAGTAACAAACATTTTTATTTCTTGCTTTCGAAGTTCATACGTCATGCTGTGTTGTAGCCTACAGAGTGCATAATTCTTCTCGTGATTCATGGCATGCGCACGTTTTACTGACGTCGCTGCAGTACAAATTGCAACATTAAACGTTCCTTGTGTTATTTTAGCGTCTACTGACTGACAGACAACACTACTGTATAGTGTGAGCGGATAAAACACGTGACCCCACCAGGTGGCCATCGACCTCCCCCCTTTCGGGGAACAATAAAATATAATTAAATCCTTGTTAACATAGAAAGAATTAATAATATGGTGTTATATTGATCCTATCCCTAAAAATGTGACTTGTAAACGACATAAATAACATTTCTAACAATTACAATTCACGTACCCAATTTTACACCATAACTATTGTTGTCATTAAAAACTGATGATATAAATAGCACCTAGACCGCTACTACCCACCCGACCTAATGAGCCCCTTTTACTGGATGAAAAGTCTCCATCAGCACTGGATATCACGGGTGAGGCGTGGTTGACGAATTACAGCCGTTCTTCTTTGATTTCACTCACAAGTCCTTAGAATAACAACCCCTATCTTAACCCCTGTGCAATTCAGGTGTGTCTGGTGTTGGTCTTAGGCTGAAAACATCTTTTAAAAACATTTTTTTAAAGGTTGAAAAAAAAAAGCACTTATAATGTTGCCAAAATATTTTACGAGTTTTTTGTTTTTTTTTAATCTTAAGCTTATTTTGGCAACTGAAAGGAATCCTTTATCACATAAAGAAGTGAAACGTTTTGCATAGAATTTATTTTTCGATACCCGTGATGGGCAGAGCACAGATAGCCCTTTGTGTAGCTGTGTGCTTAACTTCAAACAAACAAAAATTCGAGAAAACAACTTCACTGGGTTACAGAACTTCACTCAGTTCTGCCCGTTCATTCTCACGTATACAAAGTTGTAGATGTAGTTTAGAACTAAGTTAAACACAAGTGTTATGGTATGAACGTCTTTTAAAAGCTGGCAAAGCGTGATTACCGTTACAATGTATGAGGTTAGCTACCATATCAAGTAATTCTTTGCCCATAGTTGAGCATAAAAAAAAGGTCAGCAAACAAGATTCATAGAATCATTTAATTTAAAACCTTGCAAATAGGGATCGTAAAAAAAAAGGCTGGAAATACTGTAAATATTATTCATGCAAACAACAAATCCCTATCTGGACTCCACCGAAAGTAATCCTAGGTTAGAGCAAGGAGACGAAATAGGGATTTATAGATTGTGTAAGTAGTGTCTACAATGTCTTCAACCTTCTTTTCTTACCTTCTTTACGAACCCTATTTGCAGGTTGTTAAATTCCCAATCTTTTTTTTTTATCTAACTGTAAATGTAAATGAATTCTGAATAATGATATGTAAATAATAAAAATATACACGTGCTATATGCACGTGCCTTTCTATCTTATATGCGTGGAGATAAAATAAATAAAGTATATGTTAAGAGTACGAAAGTGTAAGTCTAGTTAAATGAAATCTAATAAAAAAAAACACCTTAGGTGTGAAAGAAAGGTGCGGCAAAAAAAAAAGGATTACTCGTGCTACTTAATTAAAAGAATGAAATCAAAATTGACGTCCAAATTTTTTTTTTTGTTCAACGTGTGGCACGTTGGTGGGTAAAATATAATACCAATGCTCTAAGTGTAGCTACCAGTATGGATACCAATTTCGATTTCATTCCTTTAAGTTGCATGCTCAGTCTTTTTTTTTTTTTTCATACCTACAGTGTTTTTGATTATATTTCATGATTTTTTTTTCAACATTAGCTTTAGATCTATCAGTGTACCAAATTTGAAAAAAAAAATCCATAATACTTAAATATGTTTTTCTATTAAATAAAGTTTCCGTAATTTCGGCGAGAAAAAAAAAAAATCAACCAAAATTGAAGATGTTATATCTCGGGTATTTCTTAATGGATTTGCATGAAATTTGGTATGTAAAGTAAGAGTCCAGTAGAGTACATCCACTGAAGATATGTGATAGTTTGGATTACCACAGTCCGTTCTACAGAAGATGGTAAATTGGTAAACTATCACTCTTGTTAATAACACAGTGTATCCTCCAGGTTGTTTTGGCCGCACGACAAACTACCATGTGTGTTGATTATCTCGTTAAGTTAGGACTAACTTTAAGATTATGATTTAACCTACGTACACAACTTAATGAAAAAACACTTATTACAGTTAGTTAAAATTGTTTTAGTATAGCTAAATACATTACAATTTTAAATGTAAGTGTGAAAGTGCACAAAACTCATAGTGACTATATCGTATTAATATGTCAGTTGTATACCCAAGACTTCAGACGGCGTTGGGTTCGCTCGCTCATATACTAAAACAATATAGATAACATTCTGATGACTGTCGTGTAAATCTTCAGGATTTTGGTTTTGTAAGTATTTTATATTTTCCAGTATAAGAGCTTAATTTTTTATGAAAGTATAAGTTTGTACTAGCAGGTAACTTAAAAAATGCAAACGCTTTTCTCCATAAACAAACTTTTTCTTTTAATATTTAGAAATGAACGTAAACTGTGGTTATGACAATATAAAGAAAACGTATTAATATTAGTGTTAACTCTGAAATTTCCTTTGGTTGAACGTAATTTGTGGAATAACGTACTGTTCTTATTTAATCCACTTTAACGAAATTGTTCTTTTTCTCTTTATTCTACGTAATTTAATGTGTTGCTTTACGCATGGCCACCATATAAATATAAAAAGTTTAGTTCAACAAAACAAACGAAATTTAATGGACCATTTTCTAACTTTTAGTAAATTACTTGCAGGCTTCACTTAAAAAGAATAACATATAAACTGAGTGTAATAACGACAGGAGCAGCCAACTGAATGTAAATGTCTAGCCTGTCGTCGCGACGAGTGATGTCGCCTCGTGATAAAATACAAAGAACAAGGCGCGTGGTTTAAGGTTTAAAGCAAGTGAGTTTTAACGTTAATGTTATCTAGGTTGCGTGACAAGACGAAGCACGCCAATCAATCAAGCCTTTTGGATCTACACTCGAAGTAACCATAGCATAGGGCTCAGAAGCGAAATCAACATTTATTTTGGTTTTCCCCAGTTGTTAGATATATTTCAGTTTGTTTGATAAGTTTTTATTAATTTTAAAGGTGGTTTCGGAATGTATCTGGTATGATATGTATATTTAATCTTCTGAAGACTTAAGGGCGTTTTTAATTTATCAAAATCAGTTTGTTTACATCAAAATCACCGACCAGAAAAGAAGAGAGAATATTTAAAATGTCTTGTCTATGTAAAAGGAAATACTTGTTTTAAATAAATAATAAGATGTTTACGTACACGATGTAGCTTATGTACAAGAGAATTATTTATGTTTGGAACATGCAACCGGATAACTTAGTTTTTTACAATGAAATACTAGAATCACGACGAAATAAGGCCTAAAACCTCGTTAACAGCGAGGGTACTCAGTAAAAATTTACTTTTTAATCTTTATAAGTAGCGGGTTGATTTTTAGTTTAATTTTTAATCTATGTATATAGCGTTCTTTGAAATATAATATTAAATATTTACAGAACTAAGCTTATTGGTATGTGCATGATATTTACCTGTAATGAAAAAATGATTTAGTATTTTTCTGAAATAGGTCACTCTGGTATATAGTTTAATGATTTTTTTTACACCTTTTAAATCTGCTTGTACCATTGGTTATCTAATGCTGTTATTGGAAGCTTGTTTTTTAGTTAATTGTTATAACTTGTATGCTGTAAAATAGGCTTAAGAATATTTTCAATCGTTTTCTTTTGGCACAGGCAACACATGAATTGGATTGGCAAGAAACAAAGTAGATAAATGTAGTTCTTTTTTTCACCCAAACATTCATTGTTTAAATACCTTTGGCTATAGATAATGATACAACTCTTACCATATATTATCTATAATAACAAGGAGAGTATAAATAGTTTATATGTGTAGCAAGGAAAAAAATCTAGTATTTTGTGAACGTTTTACATCAGATCTTTATAATACTTTGGAAAATATTTATTAAGCGGTCGCATAATGTGCACAATATTTACCATCAATATATGTATTTAATTATCTGAAAAAGAAAGCAATTATTTCATAGGTACATTAGTCTTAAAAGCCTACTTATTAAAATACTTTTATAATCTATATAAATAGAGACAAAAAAAGTCACAGTCAAGTGACTATGTGAACTAAAAATAGAATAGTTTTATCTTAAAAATGGGCCCGGGATGGCCAGGTGGTTAGGGTGCTCGACTCTTAATTTGAGGGTTGCGGGTTCGATTCACCAAACGTGCTCGCTCTTTCAGCCGTTGGGGCTTTATAATGTGACGGTGAATCCCACTATTCGTTGGTAAAAGAGTAGCCCAAGAGTTGGCGGTGGGTGGTGATGACTGGCTACCTTCCCTCTAGTCTTACACTGCTAAAGTAGGGACGGCTAGCGCAGATAGCCCTCGTGTAGCTTTGCGAGAAATTCAAAAACAAATGTATCTTAAACTTGTACCTGATAACTACATTGTTAATGTATTTTGCTAATATTGTATGTTCAGTAACTTTATATTTTAACCTTACCCAAATTCATCAAAACTATTATCAAAGGAAGGTAGTTAATCCTCATGTATTTTCTAACTCCAAAACTTCCTTATGTTGTGTGGCCTATTGGTTAGTTTGTTAGGCTGTGGCTCGGAAGTACTAAATACTAAAATTTCATTACAAAAAAAATATTTTGTTTAATATAGATGGCAGTATAACTTGGGAAGTTGTTCGTAGTTTTATTTTTTTTACGTATGTTTCATAACATACTTGAACTTTGGGATTTCTCACAGTTTTATTTAGTCCATGTGTTGCAGTCGATGTCATTCAAATTGAAAGTACTAAATACTAAAATTTCATTATAAAAAAATATTTTGTTTAATATAGATGGCAGTATAACTTGGGAAGTTGTTCGTAGTTTTATTTTTTTTACGTATGTTTCATAAAGAATTGCCGTCGAGTTATTTGTTAATAATATATGGAAAATTTTCACACTTCGAAATGTTAGTACTACTAAACGTATTTTATTTTTCATAAACAGATCTGAGTTCGGCAAGTGAAGAAGAGGAATCGGACGACTCTGACTCCAAAGATTTAAGCGGTTATATCTGCCACCACTGCTGTACTAAAGGTAAGTGCTTTTCATTTTCAGAACAAGAAACAACTGATTGCATTGTCTAAAACTAGAGAAAAAAAAAGTGTCATTCTGCATGGAGAGTTTGTTGCTTCACCCTCCTTTATCTCTGCGGACCATTTCTTCTGTGTGTGTATGAAAATATGTTAGTTAAATAGTGTTTCACGTACTATCATAAAAGGATATGTTTTTTGTGCAAAAAGTCTTAAGATGATACATGTTAAATAATGCACATTCAATACATATTTTGACTTAAAACGTTCACACATCAAATAATACTTTTCAAGCAAGAATCTTTTTAATAAGCCCCCCCCCCCCACACACACACATCATGTGACAGTTTTAATATGACTCGTACTAAATAACACGCTTTCCAGTCAAGAACAGTTTATAGTATAAAACACACATACATCAAATAATAACATGCTTTGAAGTAAGGATATTTGTTATAATTTTCCTTGACTGAATCATTGGTTGATATCTGTACAAATAGACAAATCCTGAGCAGCAACACATGTGATTTTATGATTTGCTGGACAAACAACTTCAAATATTTTTTGTTTCTGTTAGACACACAGTAGATGATCAGATCAACTTTACAGGTGTTTGGTAGTTGGGTGTCCAGGGGTGTTAGGAAATTGAAGATTTATATTTCACCGTGCTCACAATATAGGTATGCATATTGTGGGGGGGTTATCAAAAAAAGGGGGAGAAATGATAAATAAAAATGGGAACCATGCTTGACTGAGCAAAAGAGCCAAATCCAGGCATTGAAGGAGGTATGTTGACAACAACCAAACAAAACACGAGGTCAACTAAGGGCCAGGGTTTCTTAAATGTCCATTTTTCAACTGCAAAATGTAGAAAAACAGTTTTCTATAAGTATGACTTATACAGTTCTTGAAAAAACCTTATACCACAAAATATAACACTCGGGCTACATTCTGTCATATTTTAAAAAATCTTGCACTAGGGCTACCTTCTGTCATATTTTTACACCTTGATGAAGATGACTACTGTTTTTCACATGTGTTCTCCTTTACTAGATTATATTGTACCTAGAATAGAAAGGGAAAAAAGCAAACAAATTGTAAGAAGGTTTTCCCTTCTACTGCCTTTTTTCTGTGATAATATTTCAGCTGCTGACTTCGTTTACCATCCATTCTAAAAATACAAATATGAAATCCCTCACCGAAATGCATACCACATCTGTATATTAGCAAAGACAGGTGTAGAAATTAATGTGATCTCCTTTACATTTCTACAGTAAATCCAGCTATAACAGGCTAATAAGAATAGATATTGTGTATTAGACTACTTCTACAGATAATAAACGTAAGCTTTTATTATAACGTGTCATTATACTAACAAGTGCAAAGCAAATATAAGGAGTTGAATTAAAATGGTGATCTCTTTTTACCCATTCTGTGAACTCCTTTACATGCATCTCAACATGTCTCCAGTTATCTGTTTTTATAAATAGATCCCTTTGTAATTCATTCAGTCGTCTAAACCTAAAACTACCACTACTCACACCATTTGAATGTTAGTTAAAGAGCTACACACCTGTTATGTAATCCCACTTTCAAGGACTTTTCTTGCAGGAAAATGAGTTGATTTGTGATTAATACATTTCAAGTTCATCCTACCCTAATCATCTGCAGATGGTGGAAACTTAAATATGGTGGAAAAAGCATTATGCTCTCTCTATATATATTCTCCTGTGAAGTAAAGGAGAACGTATAATTTTATGTTCAGTGATTTTTTTATTGAAGAATGCAATTTACTCTTTCCGTTTCAGTTATTAATAACTTGGTTGTTGTGTATAACAATGTATCAAAATGACATTATTTGAATATCTACACTAGATGCATGTGTAAAGGAGATCTCGTGCTTAAAAAAACTAATTTTATTACAAGCTCCAAATGGACATACCCAAAATATCTCTTGATACCCTGTGTTTGGGGTATGATCAAATTATATACTTCCCAGATTGATTTTAGACTCTAATCTTTTATTTACTTAAAAATTTGTAATTATTGTCTTGAAAATAAACAACTGTAAGAGAGATCACATGATTATTCAACATGTTATTTGGGATATTTTTACATGTGAAAAAGTAATGGGACAATCAGCTAATAACAAATTTTCAAAACATAAATGTTTACTAATT